TGTGGTTTCCTATTTTAGAATTTTTGGCTTGATTTGCCTGAGCACTTTCTCCCCACCTAATAGTAAATAGGAGGTCCCTATACTATTTGATGAATGGGGACTCGTTTCCTCTTGATGTCTGTTTGGGAAGTTTACTCCTCTTATATTCTGTCACTGTAGCGATTAATGAAAACATATTTGGAAGCTGTAAAAAGGATCCTTAAATGTAAGCAGATTCTAAAGATAAGTGACTATAATGACACTAAATCATTTCCTTTGTTTCTGGAGGCCTCCATATTTCTCCTACAAGACAGTACTGTCATAAATCGTCTGCTGGGAACGCTACCCTAAAAGTTTCATTTAAGACAAAGGAGACCAGAGGGGCGCCTGGGTGGCTCAGTGGGTTAAAGCCTCTGCCTTCGGCTCAGGCCCTGATCCCAGGGTCCTGGAATCGAGCCCCGCATCGGGCTCTCTGTGCAGCGGGGAGCCTGCTTCCCCTTCTCTCTCTCCCTCTGCCTGCCTCTCTGCCTACTTGTGATCTCTGTCAAATAAATAAATAAAATCTTTAAAAAAAAAAAAAAGACAAAGGAGACCAGAAATTTCTGTCTTTAAGATGTAATAGCCTTGTCTTCTATACTCATAAAAAAGGTATGCAGTGCACTTCTAATTATTTTTCCTGGACGATTAAAGATCGCAAACCACTTTGTGCTCATCAACTTGATTCCCTTCAGCTGTCCTAGACTTTCCAAAGGGTCTCACTTGACACCATTTTGCATTTCAGAGCAGATCATTTCCTACGATGGTAGCACCGTTCCTCAGGTGTTTCCTTACTCTACCACTCCGCGTTTGAAGCAAGGCGTGTTTATTATTTCAAGATTCAGTATTCCAGTCATGAAATAGAACAAGGCTAAGAAAATTGAATAACCCCCTTTTAAGCAAAAAATCAACTCTCTGGAAACACAAATATAAACTGCTAACTAAAACCTTAAAAAAAAAATGTGTTCTAAGATTAAAGGCAAGACAAAAATAACCAGAGGGCGAGTATTTTTATTCAAAGATTAAATGCAAGCCAGAAATACCCACAGGGTGAGGCAGAGAAGGGTGGTTATTGAAAGCACTGCTGGCTCTGGAGTCAGACAAGGAAGGTCTGCACGCTGGCTGTGTTTCTCCATGCTGTGTGACCAGTCCTGCAGATTTACTTGACCTCTATATTTTCTACAAAATGGGGACAACAAAAACACCTACTACAGGGGAGTGTTGTGGGGATAAAAATGAGAGGATGCACCGAACGTGCTATGCCTGGTACATTGTAAGTAATCAACACATTTTAGTTATTATTAGTTGCAAGTGCCATGTAGAAAGATATTTATTTTTTAACCATTAGGACAAAAGGGAAACATTTCTAAAAAGACTGAAAAAATGAAAAAAATATGAATTCCTTACCAATAAATGGATAGTAACATCTTTTCTTCATATGCCTTATTGATTTTCTCAGGTAATTTCAAAGGCCTTTTTACAACTACAACCATCGTAAAAGCAACGTCACAGTTATTAAGGAAAAAGAGATGTGGATTAAAAGTAAGTGTAGAAGAATGCTGATAGTTTTTGTTAGGACAACTGGAACTTTTTCCTTAACACCTATTAATTACTCGAAATTACATTTATAGTGCTAGAGACTAAATTGTCACTGGCACTCTCACAGACAGTAAGATACTTTAAATAAAACTAAACTTCAAAAAGCTTAAGTATATAACGAAGTAGAAGCTCTTAAATATTCCCAGTTACATTTTAATTGGTTTACCTCTCTGCCAAACAACTTGGCAAATTTGGTATTCAACAAAATCCATAAAACGGTAAAGACCATTGGACCCAGGAATAATCCAAAAAAGGTTATGAAGGACAATTAGTTGGATTATTTTTGTTTCTTTCCTTCATTTTTTTGATAATAGCATTATTGATATATAATTCACATTTCATCCAATCCGATTAAGTATACAATTCAGTGTTTTTTAGTATATTCAGAGTCGTACAACCATCATCACAATCAATTTTAGAACGTTTGCCTCAAAAAGAAAACCAACATTCTTTGGCTATCATTCCCCAATTCCACCTCTGCACCCAGGGCTACGCAACCATTAATCCTTTCTGTCTCTAAGGATCTGCCTATCCTGGACATTTCATATAAACAGAGTCATCATGCTAAGTGAAAGAAACCCGTCACAAAAGACTTTATATGTTCTCGAGGGTCATTCATGTTACCCCATATATCAACACATCCTTCTTATGGCCAAATATTTCATTGCATAGATATACCACATTTAATTTATGTGTTCATCAGTTGGTAGACATACATATCGTTTCACCTTTTGGCTTGTATGGATAATGCTATTATGAACATTCATGGACAATTTTTTTTTTAATTTTAAAATTTTTAGTTTCTAAGTAATCTCTATACCCAACACAGAGCTTAAACTTACAACCCTGAGATCAAGAGTCGCATGCTCTAATTACTGAGCCAGCCAGGCACCCTACATGGACAAGTTTTTGCTTGGACATGCCCCCATTTTTCTTGGCTATCTACCTAGAAGTAGAATTTATATGATTTATATGGTTTATATGGTCCGACAATGTAATTATGTTGCACTCCCAGAGGTATTATGCAGAAATGCTATACTCTGAAAAGTACTCTACAGAAAAATTTTGGCCATGTAAAAAGAAAACCACATAATAAATGGAAAAAGGCTACATGAAATGAAAAAAAGGGTAAAACCCACTTAAAATCTTGCCTACGCTTCCCTTCCCCTTCTCCATCCTATGGACCTAAGGACCTCAATTCTCCCCCCTCCTCCATTCTCAGGACCAGCTAGATACACTACCTTTCAGAGATTTTTTACAACCTCTCAGCTTCAGAACCTTTGTACTTGTTGTTTTCCCCTGCCTGTATCACTTTTTCCCCCACTTCTTTGCCCAGTGGTTTCAAGTCTCATCTTAAATGTCACTTCCTCAGAAAAACCTTCTCTGATATCCCTACCTAGTCTAAGGTTGAACATTTCCATAGCAGTCTGCAATTTTCCATCTTAATACTTTTGATACTGGTAATTGTTTATTTGCTTAGTAATCAGATACTAAGAGGTTATTACATGCAGGGATACAGAGTGAAAACAAAACACACAAGATCCTAGACCTTGTATTCTAGGGAGTGAACCCAGCACACGTATACAGATCAATGTACTAGGTAATTTTTTTTTATTCATTTTCTTCCAGTGTAGTTAACATGCAGTGTTATATTCATTTCTGGTGTACACTACACACCAATATAGCGATTCAACAGTTCCATATATTACTCAGCGTTCATCAGTTAAATGTACCTATTAATTCCCTTCATCTATTTCACCCATCCCCCACCTGTCTCCTTTCTGGTAGCCATCTGTTCTCTATAGTTGAGTCTGGTTTTGTTTTGTTTTGTTTTGTTTGTTTCTCTCTTTCTTTTTTCCTTCGTTACCTATTTTGTGTCTTAAATTCCCCAATAAGTGAAATCATACATTTGTCTTTCTCTGATTGGCTTATCACTTAGCAGTATCTTCTCTAGAGCCAGTCTTGTTGCAAATGACAAGATTTCGCCCTTTTACGGCTGAGTAATATTCCACATCTTTATCCATTCACCTATAGATGGATACCTGGGCTGCTTCCACAGTTTAGCTATGGTAAATAAGGCTGCAATAAACTTATGGGTGCATATATTCCTTCAAAATAGTGTTTCCGTGTTCTTTGGGTAAATATGTACCGGGTAACTTCAGATTGTGATTATTAGCTTAATATTTATTCTGTTTGCATTGTACACTCCATGAAGGCAGGGGCTATTTCCGTCTTGGTTCCTTCCAGTTTGCTAGCGCTTACCACTGAGTCTGGTCGGATGAATAAGCTCAATACAATTTTTTTCAATGACTGACAAAACAGGCATATAAAAAACAGAAATGGAAAACACAAAGGAGATTACTCCTGTAAATGGTTGAGTTTGAGATTTTTCCCCCTTTCCTCTTTCAAAACTCTAATTCCACATATTCTTTCTCTAATTAAAACAATTAAAAGACGAGCCAGAAATTACCATAGGTGAGTAAAAGAACCTCAAATAAAACACATTTATATGTCACTACACACTCGTTAAACATCTGGTAATAAAACCTACTCAAATAGGTGTGTTGGTTCAGTGGACACAATTCCCTTGGCGCATTACCAAGCATGTTCCCTGCCATCGATAGTATAATTTACCGTTTTAAAAGGCCTTTAACACCCAAGACGATGCTTAAGGATATGATCTTCCAAACTGCCAGATTTCTAAAGCGCTTGACCGTCTACCTCCATCCGCTAGGTGCCACCAGAAAAAAGCCGCAATTCTTCTATGTAATAAACAATTTTTTGCGAGGTCAACAAAGAATGCAAAATCTTTAACACAACAGAAAACCAGCCCCTTCCCAATAAACCCTTCTTACAAGCCCTAGACACTCATCAGGTTCCTAGACACTCATCAGGTTCGATAACATCAAGCAGCTTCGCGGTGGGCAAAGGGAGCATCCGGACAAGCCCCACCCCCAAGGGGAGCGCTCAGCTGCTTCTTTCTTCCCCGGGGCGCATGCGCAGCGCACTCTCCGGCCACCGCACGCCTCTGCCAGCGAGCGGCCGGCGCTTACGTCACCGTGAGCGGACGGTGTGCCCTTCCGCTTCTCCTAGGGAAACGAGACCGCGCACCTTTGAGTTTCCTTGGCCTGTAGGAAATGTCTTCCCTTCTCGACCCCAGTACTAAAGACTTTTCCCGCCCGTCTCCAACAGCTCAGCTTCTTGCCGGACTCCCCTGTAAGCTCGTTGGACGGTGAAGGCCACGGAAAAGAAAAAAGGGGAGGGGGGAAAGATCAGCTCAGTGTTGTTTACAGAGAGTAAGCAGATCTAGGAATCGGTCCGCGAGGGCGGAGCCGACGGAGCCGGCACTTCTTTCTCCCCTCCCCTCCCTCCCCAGCCTTCCCCGCGAGCGGACGCGGCAGCGCCTCTGTCTCGCTTTTTCTTATTTTCCCCCCTTTCCCCTTCCTTTTTTTTCCTTTTTTCCCCCTTACCCCCTTTTCACCATTTCCCCTCGGAGACGCTTCCCCCGGGCAGGGGCAGAGCCGGTCTCACCCCCCCGCCTCTCCCCGGCCCCCGCCGCCCTATGGCGAGAGGGAACCCCCTCCCCACCCGGGCACTAGCGGCGGCCGTTGGAGGAGTGGGACCGGCGCTGACCGCGGCGGCCTCAGGCCCGGGGGAGTCATGGAACTAATTCGCTGACCCCCCGGCCGCAGCCGTGCGTCCCGCTCGCTCGCCAGCGCCCGCGCCCCCGCCCCGGCCCGGTTCCCCCTCTTCTCCCTCCTCAGTCGGTGCCGTCCTGGTCCCGCGCGCCCCGCCGCCGCGCGCTGAGGAAAATGGGGTGGTAACGTGCCCCCCGGATGATCCCGCATCACCACAGTGAGGCCTACAGCTCCGCCGGGGAGGAGGAGGAGGAGGAGGAAGAGGAGGAGGAGAAGGTGAGGGGGCGGGGGGAGTCGCGGCGTCTCGGCGCCCCGCGCTCGCGCGCCCCGCGTCGCCCCCGTCCCCCGCGCTGCCCGAAGGGTAGCTCCGGGCGCCGCGCTCGGTGGCTAAAGCAGACCCCCGCCGCCCCCCAAAGGCAGCCTTCGGGACCACCCCCGGTCCGCCCCCTCCGCGCCGGAACAGTTCGGCACCTGCCCGGTTCGTCAGCGGCTCCGCCGCGTTCCCTTTGGGCCAGTTTCTGTGTCCGCGAGTAACTTCGGTGTAGCGACGGCGAGCTGCCCGCGCCTGCCCGTTCTGGGCCCGCGGGCTGTGCGGTGCACAAAGAAGGGGACACACCCCCACCCTTGGACTTCGGGGCTGCTGCGGGAGCGGAGGGCGACATTTACATTGCAAAGCCGAGTGGCCGCCGGGCGGGCTGGGCAGCGCTGGTGCCCCGGAGGTTGGGGGAGGGGCCGTTACCCCAGGTGGGGGGGTGGAGAGGAGGTGAGAGTGGAGTCGCACCCTGAACGGCGTTTCCCGGATTGGTGAAAAGGAGGGAAGAGGGGGGAGTGGGGAAAGGGGGAGGTAAATGCACCGAAATTTTGAAGAGGGCGGAACGGACCTCTCCGGAGCTAGAGGGTCCTTTGTAGGTGCTTCGGGCCAGAGTGGAGAATCCGGTAGCAGCGTAGGGGAAGGTCTGTCCGGGGAGGTGGAGTGGAGCCAGACCTCGAACGTCCAGCTGAAGTGTTTAGTTTTCATTCCGTCCGCGTCCGAGGAGCGGAGCGGACTGTTGGTAGCACTTGTGGACGCTTCTAGTCTGGCGGGCATCGCCGAAGGTGGTTCGCAGACTCCCGAGCCTTGCGAGGACGCGGTGGGGGGCAGGTGGTCCGGGAGCCTCATTTCGCGGAGGAGGGAAACGGAGGGGCCAGAGGATGACCTCCCCTGGGGGTGCCGGCTGGGGGCCGGTGGCGGGAATGCAGACCCGAGCCGACCGCTGTGCCATCTAGTCTGCGTCCCAGAAGTGGAGTTGTTGGGAACTTGGAGGTAGCATCCCTGGCTTCCAGCTTCCGTGCATGGTTCGGGGTCGATGAAAGAGGAGTGGACAAGTAGCTTCAGAAAGAGTCAATCGGGTTTAGAGTTGCTGATCTGCAGCCAGAAAGAGGAGCGATTCTGGACACATTCCGGAACCCTGACGGAGAGCCGAGTCGTAGTCGTGGCGAGCCGGGAGGGCTGGCAGAGTTGGTGTTCAGTTCCAGGTGACCGCGCTTATGTGCCCGTTTGACTCGTGGTCGGGTGGAACGGGGCTCTGATGTTTTTGGTGGAGGATGGAAGCCGCGTGTGTGTTCTGCTCTGATACACAGTGTCATGTGAGGTGTACAGTACTCTAAAAGGGGAGGGTCCCTTTCTCTGCGTGTTTCTTCCTCTTCAGAACGGGCTTAACAGTAATACCAGCTTCTTGAGGTTGCGTAAGGATTAAGGGAGTTAAGGTGGCGGAGTACCTCGAACAGTATCTGGCCAAGGAGAGAGCACTCATTGCTTTGACTTACGTGGAGCTGAAGTGTGCGCTCTTCGTTAGACATTCGTGCTGAATCTGGAGAGTGTGTGCCCTCGGAGAACTCAGGGTTTGTAGGAGACACGGGTGGGCAGATAATTCTCACAGAGCAATTAAATGCAAAAGTAGAATTATGTCTAAGTACAGATGTCAGAAGGCAGGGGACTAGACACAGACCTTTGCAAGGGACAGCTCTGTAGGAAGGGGAGTGCCAGCTAGAGAAGGACAGTTAGGTTGAAAGAACTGTGTGGACAGGATGGCGCTGGGGAGACAAACGGAGGGCTGTCATGGGATATAATGAACCTGTAGTTCATTATTAGGTTAGGGGCGTGAACTCAGGGAGATGGTCACATTAATAAATCCTTCTTTATAGAATAGGAACTAAGATCCAGAAGTCTGTACCAGCACAGACTTATAAATGGAGTTGGTGTTACAGTGATAATAACTATAATAATTCTGTATGAATGAAGTTATTTCTGTGTTTACCCAAGACTGTGCAGTACTTTTCCTTAGAATAGCAGGAGGCCCTGTATGTAGATTTCTAATACAGTTTATGCTATACAGTAACTTTATAAAACTGTTCATGCATGCATTAAGCTCTTTGATAAACACGGAGAAAAAAGCAGAAATAATTGAAAGATTGACAGGAGAAATGTTGAACTGTCATAAAGCCAGAAGTGTGTGGAATATGCCATTCAAAACAGCCCTTCTGTTTCTTAGTTCCTAGAGACTTCTATCTGAGCATTCACAGTTCTGAATGTGACTAATGGCATGAAATAATAAGATACAACTCTAAAGGTCTACTATTTAAAACAGTAAAATTATATTTTAAGTGTATTTTATTCAGGTTGCATTAATCTAACTCAGTCTATTTTACACATTAGAAAACAGGCTGGTGCATTATCAGTAAGAAAAGTAAAACTCAAGCTAATACTTTCTTCACTGTATCATTGTTTGTCTTACTAGAATCATTTAAAAAAAATTTTTTTAATATTTATATGGGGGGGGCGGCACAGAGGGAGAAGGAGACTCCCACTGAGCAGGGAGCCCGACAGTGCAACAGTGACAATTTGGGGCCTGATCCCAGCACCCTGAGATCATGCCCCAGGTGGGCAGACACTAAAACCAACTGAGCCACCCAGACGCCCTGTCTTACTAGAATTTCGAAAAGGAGTGTCAAAGGTATCCCTCTTATATAAGCACTTCCATAAATACAGCCTTGGGGGATGGGGATTAACTTGTAAATAATTTTAAAAAGAAACTATCATTTCATCTACCATCAGCATTTCACTGCATATTTATCATTTGTCCTCGCTCTCATATATACGTATATTGCATATGCCCTTTACTCCTAAGGATTTTAGTGTGTATTTTCTAAGAGGGATGTTCTTACAGAATCACAGTAAAGTTATCAACTTTAGTAAACGTAACATTGATACATTTACTTTAATTTGTCCATGTTCCCGTTATGTCATTTGGCCCAATAATGACCTTTATTGCATTTTATCTTTCCAGTTTAGGATTGAGTCTAGCATCAGATACTGAACTTTCATTTTTCTGTAGTCTAATTTGATCTGAAATATTTTCTCCATCCTTTTTTCTTTCACTTGGATCATTTATATCTTATTTTTAAAAGATAAAGGAAGTTTGAACTCTTTACCCTTTGTTACATTCCCCTAGTGTGAGCGAAGAATGTTTCCTTTATTTTCTATTATTCATATGGTGTATTACATTAATCGATTTCCTGAATGTTAAACCAACTTTGCATTCCTGGTGCAAATCCCACTCAGTTATGTTATGTAATCCTTTTTTTTAATGTTGCCAGATTCAGTTTGCTACTATTTTCTTGAGGAATTCTACATCTTTATTTAGAAGAGATGTTCTCCATAGTTTTCTAATGCTGTTTTGTTTGCTTAACTGGCCTCATAAAATGAGTTGAGAAATGTTCTTCCTCTACTTTTTGGAAGAGTTTGTGAAGAATTTTAATTTTTCTATAGATGTAGTATTCATTAGTGAAATCCCTTGGACATAGGCTTTTCTTTGACAGTTGTTTACTAATTGAATTTCTTGTTACGTGGCTCTTCAGCTTTTCTGTTTCTTTTTAAAGTCCGTTTTGATAATTTGTGGTTCTAGGTATTTGTCCATTTCATGCAAAGTTGTCTAATTTATTTGCAAATCCTTGTTCATAAGATTCCTTTATAATACCTCTTATTTCTACAACATAGGTGATAATGTCTCCTTTTATTCCTGATTTTAGTACTTCATCCTTTCTGTTTTTATTTGGTCAGTGTAGCTAGAGGTTTGCCAATTTTGTTGATCTTTTCAAAGAACCAACTTTTAGTTGCATTGATTTTCTCTATTTTTCTATTCCTTCATTAATTTCCACTCTTAATTTTTCTTCTGGTTTGCTTTAGGTATAGTTTGCTATACTTGCATCCCATAAGTTTTGGTATGTTTCTTTTTTCATTACCTCAAAGTATTTTCTAATTTTCCTTGTGATTTCTTCTTTAACCTGGATTCTTTGTTTAAAAAAAAATTGTTAAAGCATCTAAGTATTTGAAACTCTTACTTAGGGTCTTAACTGTAGAAAATTGGGGAACAGGAATCTCTTGAACCTTCTTATTCTCTACATGATTCTGTCTTGTTTATCTCTGTCTGTCCCCATCCATCTATCCATCCATCCCTCCTAAAAATAATCTTCAGAGGAAGCATTTTGAGGGAAGAGTAATCACAGGGACAGCCAGCCATTGGTGTGCTGAGAAGGCTGAGGGCTCCCGATGAGCCACCCTGTTGGGTGAAACTAATGGAATGAAGTAATTTGGTATGTTTTGACAAGAGTTAATGAATTACAGACTAAAATTCGGTTAGAAGAAACCTTAGAACCAATAAATAAACCAAGTTTAATCTCCATCCAATATAGGTGTTTTTTCCTAAAGATCTCTTGACTGATGGTCATCTAGTTTACACTCTATTTCTAAAGTTAATAAGGTTAATATTTCCATCTGTTTTAGATGAAATTATAGTGAGTTTATTTATCTAGTTATGGAAAATCTGAGAAAAGTACCAAGGCGGCAAAATTGGAATCAGAACATCTCAGCCGAATGTAACAGTAGATGGAATATAACAAGATGACCTTTTTATTTTTTTTATTTTTTTTTTAATTTTTATTCATTTGACAGAGAGAGAGAGAGAGAGAGAGAGATCACAAGTAGGTAGAGAGGCAGGCAGAGAGAGAGGGAAGCAGGCTCACTGCTGAGCAGAGAGCCCGATGCGGGGCTCTATCCCAGGACCCTGAGATCATGACCTGAGCCGAAGGCAGAGGCTTAACCCACTGAGCCACCCAGGTGCCCCAACAAGATGACCTTTTTAAAAAAAAATACATTTATAGTCCTGAACAAGGTTGTCCCCCCTTCCCCCCCAAAAAGGGGCTCCAAAACTATGTACGTGGTGGGCACATGGAGAGGG